CATCTTCAAATGTCTTCACCACACAGCTCCTCAGTACCTTGAACACTGTATCAAGCCATATATATGTACCTGGCCGACCTGGCCGCGACCCCAACTTTCTGTCAGTATACCCAGATCCAAGAACAGCTTCACCAACAGCCTTCACAATTTCCGATCTACAATACCTAGACAGACGATATATCCGAATGGCGCATTTAGACCGACAGCGGGCGCAATAAATTCGCAATTGATGAGGACTCACAAAATTACTACGCGAGCTAATTTGAATCTAAAGTACCCCCATAACTTTTTTGGGAAAAAAAGAGACTGTTTGGTTAAAAAAAATAAAAAACAACGATGGAATTGTGCAAATATAGCCGAGGATCAACTCACTAGCTTTTGTGATATTATATATAGGGCAGAATTGATAAAATTACCGTTGAAAAATGGGTCCTATTTGCCTGAGAAAATGTAGGGATGCCACTCGTCAATTTGGCTGCACGCAGGCTTGGCCATAATGGTTGCAGGCCAGTAAATCGGTCCAAAACTGCCGCCGGCCAAATCACGATTCGGTATATTTGAGCACATTATTGGCCATGAATTTGAGGGTTTGTAAAATATAGGGGTGGTAGCCGTGTACTTGACTGTGAGCTAGTAGTTCTGTGCAGTTGGGATGATATTGGGGCCCTTAAAGCGCTCTATTTTGCGATGGAGTGTAGGCATCGTTTTTCCAAATGGCGATGGTCTTCAGGACTATTTTAAGGGAAGATCATCTTCTTAGATGAAAATTTCTCCTGCAAGTCATTAGTTTACCCCCCCCCCAAAAAAAAAAGATGTGAAAGATGAAAATAACCTTTAATTTGATGTGTGTCTCGAACACCTTGGAGAGTTGTGAATATTTTTCCTGAATTTCTGAAGTGGGGGCATTTATCATTGGGGTCTATGGCAGTTTATTTACTGGTCTGCAACCATACAGCCTTGCTCGATGCCACCACCAGTACATTGCCGTAAAAAAATGGTCCTCCAATCGTTCTACACAAAACCGCAAGCGTCTGGGCTTTTGTGCACAAACCTTATCAGTCGGCCTAACACGCTCATTGACTTCGGCGGCAAAAACCGCTAGCCTCATCATAAAGAATAAGTTAGCCGGACCAATTTTTACAAGAATGTGTTCCTAATGAGTGTTGAGGTAGGAACTGGGAACTCAAGCGCTGTCCAGACCACTGTCATATGCGCTAATATGCACGCTGAAATCTCTGCAACTGGCAAATCCACGACATAACTATTTACTTAACCATTGACTGATTTCACTGCAGCAGTGGCCATCAGCATTGCGTAGGGTCAAACTTCGGTCATAGTAAAGGAACTCTCTTTTTGGTACATTTTCACGCGAGCAGCTATTGATCATTAACTTTGAAAACGTGCTCTCAGTTTCATGAGGACAGAAGTGCTACATATGTGACTGTTTTTAGCGTATCTAAGATCAATTCAAACCATTTCCGGATGTTAGTCTTAAGTTAAAGGCTGACATTGTGCCTTTCGGGTAAACACTCATTATTGGTTGATAAGATTTTGTTACGATCAAGCACAATCATTTCCACTGAAGCATTATGATTGCCTGGTCTGGTCTTAAATTGTGCCCCTTTATGAAGCCGTATCCATGGCGACACTGCAATGGAAACTTGTTTTACCTCATCGAATAATTATACTGTCAAACAGTCATCGCATGTTTTGGGCCAAGTATAAAAGAGGTTTGAAAGCGAGATCAGCTTCAAAAAACGTTGGCGCTTAGCATACAATGAGTCAAATCTAAATAAATTAGTTAATCATGCTGCACGAAGAAATTATCTGGAGCAGGGTTGATCATGTGACCTCCGAATTGCAGTTCCGGTGCGGTTTTCATTTTTACCAAGTCGTTCATGGGCGCCGGACCATTGTCATGTTGCGGCCATCTTGATTTTTTTTTTTCCCATTCAAATCAATGTAACCAAAACGAGGCTGGAAGGAAAAATAGTCTGGTTCCGTTTTGCACAAAAAACTACCATTCGGTACTGTTCTTGGATACAGGGAACATGACTGAAATGGTGGCAGCATGATAAAGGTCTATAGTCTGAATGTAGCCAGGGATCATGCTTATAGTCACGATGGGATATAAGACTAAGGTTTGTGTAGACTAAAACATTTCTCCCTGATGTCACATCATTCTCCGAACTTCAGATAGATCCTGTTTGTTGATAAAATAGTTCATTTGGTTTGGGGAAAGCGTCTGAATGCATACCAAGTTACTATTCATGACTCACTTCACATGCATATAGCAGGAATCCGTTTAGTGAAGCGTAAGTATATTTTATACCATTCATAATTTAAAGCTGGCCCCTCTAAATGCGTGTTAACCAGACTTTTTTCCTACAGAAAACCTGTGAATTTAATAGTCAAAGAGGTTATTTCACAAACGTATGTGACCAGTATATAGCGTCCTTTAATTTGTAGTAAATTAAAGTCTATCTTATTTTAGCAATAATGTTTAAAAGGAAATTATTCAATTTCACATATTTCAATCTTGTATCAGCCTTATCTTTGTCTTACAAAAACATTTCTATTGTTTTGTAGTTACAGCTTCTCTTGCATGTCCGTACATTTTTAAATGTTTGGTTAAAGTTATTCATGCATTTTTGATTGAATTCTTCATTCATTTCCTATATGGCTTCAATTCTCCAATAGCTCACCACATAACAGCTAGGGCATGATAAATTATTACCATCACCATTACGTCGTCGATAATATTGAGGCTGCTTTTGTAGAGCACGTTTGGGCGAGAACCATTAGTTGACTATAGTGGTTAATTTAATTAAGCCTGGCTCCATGCTGTACATTATGATACACGCAGCTATTGGTAACCAGCCAAGGGCGGATCCAGAACACAATTTTTTTTGGGGGGCCCAAAAATTTTTGGGTCCCCCAAAAAGTGGGTCAAAAAAATTACGGCGTGGTTTTTTTTTTGATTCTAGATGCTCTGTGGTGCGATCTGAGGCAATTTCTGACCACTTTAACCAATGTTTTATGAGGAAAAGATGTGGTGGTGTACTCATTGCCTGCCTTTATTGCGATGTCACATAAAAAAAAAAATTGGTTTCGTTTTTTTTTTGGGGGGGGGGGGCTTTGGCCCCCGCCCCCCCCCTGGATCCGCCCTTGTAACCAGCTATTGGTAATACGCAGCTATTGATAACCGCGCTCTGTGGTCTAGTTCCCAATAGTCGACTAGATTAATCCAATTAACCATCCTGCATCGAGGGACGTTAGTCGAATTATGGTGAACCATAGTCCTCGCCGGAACTTGTCGATCGGTCCATGGAGGTCCAAGTGTATGCGGTCGCGAGCGCGAGGCTATATCTGTGCTCCGCAACATTCTGGCCAAAAAAACCCCGATTGCCATCTTACGCTCTAGCAGACAAGAACAATTTGACAGGAGCACTGCAGAATGTAATAATTTGGATTTTGAGTTAAAAGTACAGAAAAGGCACCAAAATACCCACAATTATAGTCTGGGTGGAATTCGGAACGGTACTGGTACATGTATTTAGTAATAAAAAAAGTCGGTTACCGTCAGCTTCAGTTCTAAATTAATGTTAACGTACACGTGTACCGGGAAAGTAGATTACAGTCATTGCTAATTTTAACCTTTTTGGGCACCAAAACCTTTTTTCCCACTAATATTCGACTGCGGTATGTTGTCGACGTCAAATCATTACATTAACTGTATCGTGATACAAACAGTTGGTCGATCATTGTTCCCCTAATGCAGCATACAATCAACAAAAGAAGGGGCATATGCCGATCTTTTTAAATCAATTGCAGGTGTTTATTTTTATTAATAAAATACTTTGACCCGCCATAACAATCATTTCAAATCAATAAATCCAAAGAATATAACTTCGTCATGAAATACGTGCATATAAAATAGTCCAATTAGCCCCTTCCCCCAAAACCATGTGTTTGTGTCAGCCAATCTTGAGCATCCAATACAAACATATCCACAATCTATTTTTAGAACCTATTTCTGCCGCACGCACTTAAAAAAATAGGTCAACACGAACGCAAAGTCAACGTACATCGACGGAGTTGAAAACAGAAAGAAAGAGATGTGATAATGACAAGACCCAATCGAAACATGAAAACCACTTTGTTGTGCAAATTAAATAGTAAACTTCTGGTTTTGGAAATACATGATTTAAAGCATTACCATTTACCTCGTGTTTTGACAAACTCACATAGGCCTACGGTTTTGCATTTCAACAATTTATCACATTAAAGCAAACTCTCCCCGAACACACAGAGTGAGAACGTCAAAGGTACTCTAAGATAGCTGATGTGCAGATATTATGCACCGCGGGGAGTGCGGGGACACTATGCCTCAAAGGAGTAGTTAATATTTAATATACCTCGCTTGTGAATTAGCACGTTAGATATGGCTATAGTCAAACGATAAACATCGATACAGTTTGCTGTAGAGTGTCAAGAGACGATGGAGAATCAGTGAAAACTGACTATTAAGGCAGCAACATGTTGATGACAGTGATCTCCTCCTTGGTTCTTGTCTCCGTGTTCTTCCGGGGACTCGGAGCTGTACCACCCGCTGTCCTGGTCAATTATACCCGTCCAGGAGATCTCATCATCGGTGCCGTGTTGGCTTTTCATTTTGACGACTCCTGCCGGTCAGGATTGACATTCCGTCAGGTTGAAATCGTAGAGACGCTTGTGTACACTGTCGAACAGATCAACAACCGATCGGACATCTTGCCAAATCTCACCCTTGGATTCGACATCAAGGAAAGCTGCTACCAAGAAGATGCCGCCCTCTGGTCCCTGTTGTCTCTTCTTGGTAAGTACTTTGAGTCTCAGAATGGCCTTACCCTCCCCCTCCTGACCAGAAGAACTTTGGCACGCTGCTAGGTGTAGTTGGCACTTCTCGGAGCACGACCAGCATATTTAACGCCAAGACGGCCCACCTGTTTGATTTGCCGATGATTTCGCATTATGCGACGAGCGACGAATTGAGTGACAAAGCCAGATTTCCAAATTTCCTCCGGACCATTCCCCCGGACAAGTTGCAAGCCAGGGCCATGGTAGACATTTTGGAGAAATTCGGCTGGACTTGCATTGGCGTTCTGTACACATCAGATGCTTACGGCATACGCGGATCACAGGAATTGCTTAAACTTGCGGACGAAAAAGAAATGTGTGTCGTCTTTTCTAAGTCTGTGACTGGAAGCAAGCCTACACAGTCAGAGATCGCAGAGTTGCTTTCTAAGATTGATGAATTTGAAATTGTGCATGTCATTATTATTTTTGGTGGAGAGGAGATGTACGATATACTTGAAGAACTGGAATGTCGTAAGCCAGGTTACAGGGTTACGTTGATCTGCAGTGACGGTATTCACGGACGGAAACTCTCTGAGGTCTATCTAGGTAACATGACGAAGGGAAGTTTGCGTCTGGAGCAGCATCGCAGTTATGTACCCGAATTTCAAGACTACTTTAAAAGTTTGGAAGCTGCATCACAGGTTAGCCCCTGGTACAATGAGTTGAAAGACTTTATAATGAAAAGTAACGAATGTGTGAATTTGACACTGTGTTCCCTCCCTCAATACGCTATGATTGAGAGTACTATTTATCACGCAGTGTACGCCTTTGCCTATGCTCTGGACGATTTAATACGACAACGGTGTAGTAGTAGAACCACTGATTGTTCACACCGCTTACACAATATCAGTGGACAAGATCTTTTGCCGTATCTGTTCAATGTGCAGTTTGAAGGCGTAGGAGGACCGTTCGAGTTCGACGCTAACGGAAATGCGGAGGGGGCGTATACAATCAAGGGTCTCTTAGAAGAAAATAACAAGATAGAATGGCAAGATGTGGGACTATGGGACTCGCACCGGACGCAGAAACTTTCAATGGTGGATGCAGCTATTCTTTGGCCAGACGGGACGCCGCAGTCCCATTGCAAGCAGGAATGTCTCCCCGGTCAAATTGCGGTTCCTCTTCAAGAGAAATGCTCTTGGGGTTGCCAAACTTGTTACAAAGATGCTATCGTGGTGGATAATGCATGCGAGCAGTGCAAGAGAACCCACTGGCCCAGCACAAATCGTTCTGCCTGTGAGCCCATCGTCCCGGCTAGCGTGGCTACATATGAAGTCATCATCGTCGTTATCCTAGTTCTCTGCAGTACTGGAATCGCCCTAGCAGGGCTGAGTTTTGCCGGTCTATGCTACTATCGCCATCACTCCTTGATCAAGGCTAGCAGTCGTGAGCTCGGTACCGTGTCCATCGTGGGAACGATCTCGGCCTGTCTTGTTCCCTTACCGTTACTGCTTCCGCCTTCTGACCACACGTGTGCGGCAGCGGAGGCACTAGTCTCCCTCTGCTTCACCATGACTTACGCACCCACGTTACTCAAAGTCAACCGTATCCATCGAGTGTTTCAAGCCGGTAGAAGGTCGACTAAATGCCCTCGGCTGGCTCGACCAAAGGAGCAGATCTTCATAGCATCGATTATCGTTCTCATACAGGTAAGGAAGCTATGGCTTCTCTTTGTTCTTGGTAAAAAAATAACCTGCATTATAGCTTATGTATATAGGCCCAAGTGTGCCTTCTGTTGAAAAAAACGTAGGCCTGAAATAGGCATAGTCGATAACTTGTCATATTTGATTTGATGGTTAAAAAATACAAGTTTTTTCGACCAGCTATTAGTTTCACAAGCAAAGCAATGGCTGTTTACTGTTAACTTGATCTCAGTATAGCAACACGCAGACGAACACCGTCAGAAATGGTAAGACAGTTTTAGAGAGAGTACAATGACAATTTCACACTCTGCGTCAACGCAAACGTGAAGGAGTGCCAGTGCGAGTATTCACGCTTCCAATTGGCAAACTTTGATCCGGTTTGATCCGATTTGTAACTGAACTCCGGCTGATTTCGAGGGATTTTATTTTTTTATTTGTGTGTGTGTTATACCCATGTTTTTAATTATTGGTATGAAGTATGTGGTTCAATTGGACACCTAGATATAGAGAGACCTAAATTCATTACGCTTCTTCAATATCAGTTCTCTTCCTCCCGATCGGCATTTCACTGAGTATAGCGTATCTGTAGTTGTGGGTCTGTGTGGGCACGACCAATTTGAGAGGGGGTTGACAACAAACTTACAGAATGCCCACTACGTGCTGGAAAGGAAGCAATTGATATTTGTCTCCGGTCAGCCGACCGCCGCAAAATCAAAAAGGTCCGGGGGGGGGGGGGGACTGGAAACGTTCTGACTTGTCGAGGCGCCGTGTTCGAAGCAGACGCAATTTGACATTATAAAAAGCCTGAACAAATCTCCGTCAGTCGATTGGTGTCATTGAAATATTTGTGCCAATCCAATCGAACGGCGAAAATAGCAGTTCCATTGCACGGTCACACCTTTGGTGGCTCTGACCAATCAGATGACGTGGATTTGATAAAACAAATACTGAATGATTCACACGCACACAGTAGACATTTTCACCCAAAAATTATAATGTATGCAATAAGGGCCATGAGGCGCGGAAGCTAAGCGAGTCCATCGAAAGTGTACAGGGGTCCAAAATTCGGGTCAATTCTCTCAATTTGTGCAGGATTTTTTTTTCTCGAGAGAAGCCATTAAAATCGTCGTAAGTATATATATATATATATATACTATCCAGTATAATTTCTGTTTTTTAATGCACAAAATAAATATAAAAATAACGTTTTCGTGCCGTGCGCACGATGTCCAGGGAAATTAGCAGGGCTCCTTTCCGCACGAGTGAAAAAAAATCCTGTGTGATTCCACTGTGATTCGGGGTTCAATCCATCAAATTGTGGGCCGAATCGCGGGCTGAATCACGGGCTAGTGACGTACCACGTGACATCGTTTGTGCCGGCGCAGCTTCGCCTCGTGGAATGGAACATTCCATCTGTCACCTCATAAATATTGTTATTACTCATGCCATGGTCCAAACAAAACTGACCCCAATTCTTGATAAAAAGCACAAAGGAAGGGCAGTGGTGTTTAAATGCTGGTGTTTTAGTTAAAAAAAACAAAAACAAAAAAAAACCCCAAAACCAGCAGTTTGTCAGTTTGTTAGTTCGTCAGTTTGTCAGTTGGTCAGTTTGTAGTTTGTAAGTTTGTTAGTTTGTCAGTTTGTTAGTTTGTTAGTTTTCAGTTTGTTAGTTGGTAGTTTGTGGGGGTGTTGGGGTGTTTTTTTTTTTTTGGGGGGGTTGTTTTTTGGACATTTCTTTTCATGTATTACTTTTCCGACAACTGTATTTATGTTGTATTGTTGACGAATATTAAGAATTGTAAGGATTTTAGAATTTAAAATAGTTTCTAAATTACTATATTTTAATATTAATTTGATACCTGTAAGTGGCGGTTAATAGCTGTTGGTTTCATTAAATAAATTTTAAAAAAAATGCGAAACAGAGACAATAAAACTCTTAGGGTCGGAGCTGAGGCATTTAAAAGCTGGAGGCAGACAGAAATGCTTGTAATCGTTGGAATTATGTTTTAAATTTGACATAAATCGGAAATGGTAAATGACTCAAGCAGCTGAAAAGCGAAATAAATTAAAGAATCGGGTTTTTATTACAATCACAGCAGCCTGTGTATGACTTCAAATTGTTACAAAAAATGCGAAAAGCCAAAAGGTCAACGTTCAACTACAAATTTCCACGAGATTTCACACACTTAAGCACTATCTTTCAAAAACAAAGCCATGACCCTAAAAAAGTCTGTGACAATTTTAAATACCTCAATATAATTATAGATACACCGTTACACGTCAGCAGCTCCACTTCAAAATCAGACTTATATCCTCAAGGAAAGAAGGACAAAATGTTAAAAATATAACACAGTGATGCTCACATTGGGCAAGATAGTCGATACCTCAAGCTTCGGAGTTAATCATCGTCGATCGTGCTGAAGGGCTTCCATCAGTGCAAAGCTGTCATAGTTTGAGATTAGAATCAACAAGAAGGAACCTCCCAAATGCTGTGTTTTGTAATAGGATTATATCTGCATCGTTCTGTTCTTTGCTCTATCAGCCGTGCGGTTGCGATCGCCAAAGCGTGCCGGTTGTTAAGCAAAGCTAATCCGATTACGCACTTTGACGCTGTAACAGAGCAGTGAAATTCGTGAAAACCCCCAAAATGGCATTTTCACTGTGTGTTTCTCAGAAAATAATTATGCTCAGTATGATTTAAATGTTAAATTATAACCGAAGAAGAAATTCTAAACTTCAAGTCAGTGAAAAAAAATCGTCGTCATCGATGCCGAAACCTCAACTGAACTGGTTACTGGTAAAGCTGACCTTCAAGTCGGGAAGAAACTGTTCGAAAACTTCCCTGAATCTATGTATTTATATAATTTATAGGAATTTCTCCAAATTGTTATTGCACGATTAGTTGAACACTTATATCGTCTAACTATATTCCAAATTTCAGCTTAATCTGTCGTTGCAGCCGCTAGTGTTACAACCAGAACTATCTCCATGGAAAATTCCGAGGAGGATTTTCTGCCAACCCAACCTACGTACATTGTTCAGCAAAGCGCCTTAGGCGGTATGGTTGACCGATGTCGGCCACGCCAATAACGTATGGTAGAATAGCATATTCATTAGCGTCACTCAGCGTGTTTTGGCGTGGGTCTCGGTATCGACCAATGGAAGCCGGCAAAAAGGGTGATATTTATCAATTAATAACTCGTGAAGGAGGCTTTTCTCCAAGTTTTACTGCACACCATATTGGATAGGAACTTATTAAGCTCCGTGAGGCTTGAAAATGTTGACAGATATTGCAAACGCCAGTGTTACAACTTTCAAAAATGCACGTAGCCAGGCCTATTTTTCCAATTGCAACGAAAAATAATAAACATATCACAACGAGTTTTAGCACATACTTGGATTATTATAAGGGAAATAAACCCTGAAAGTTGCATGAAGATACGGTCTTCCAAGCAGGAGAAATTAATTTTCAAAGATTTCACCCGCCAACATGAACATGTCTGTGAACATGTAGTTTCATTCAAAAAAAAGTGTTACGTATAACCTTTAGAAATCGCCCTTCGCAACCACATGGCTGTTTACACGTAAATTGTAGAGGGCCGGCATGTACGTCTACATGCTGTACAGCGTCAGTTGGTGAAATCAAAAATTCTGAGAGAGACCTATAGAACTCAGTTTTAAAAACTGTTCTGTGCGCACGTGGGTGTGGTGTGGTATAGGCCTTGTTTTCCATATGTGTTTTATGGCACATTGCGGTATTTTCGTAGGCCCCGAATTTTTCGTAGGCCCAAATTTTTCGTAGACCCTAGACACAGCGCCTGTACTGTGCCTATTGGGTAATCCGGGCCTGGTCGATCCTGGTGAGCTGCCGGTACTAACGCAACCAAGGTACGGAATAGTCTGTTGCCTGGCCATTTCATGTTATATTAAATTAGTGATTACTTTTGTATTTGGTGTCTAGGGTACAGATGGAATCGACGCGTGGCGTGACATCGGAAAACACATGTTTTTTTTTCAAAGTTGTATTCAAGTTATAATCTTACCAACCACCATGCCGGATTACACTTAATATGAGCAAAATAGAAAAAGGAGAATTGGACGTAATATTTAACAAAGAACGTTAAAGCACGTAATATAGGCCGACATTTTGGAAATAGAATTACCAAGCACATGATATAAATACATTATACTTGCTATTGCAGGATCGAAAATAAGAATATATAGCAAAACGTTTTTCGCAATTGGGATCTTATACCCAGAACTATCCGTTTTCTTAAAGTATTTCCAATCGTTGATGTTCTTTATGGTTTACATGCATACAGGTTATTATTTGCTGATCTCGTTTTCAAGCAAAATAGCTTTGTGAACACGAACAGGTCCATGACACTGGTATCCACTGCGAAGGTTTTACGTTTATCGAGGCATATCTTGTGCAATCACGTTTCCACGATCAACTTATTAACCAAAATACATCAATATTACAAATTACCTAAACCTAAAGACACTTTGGTCACGTCTGACCCTTCTAACCAGTCCTATGTAGTTCCAAAAAATCACGTACCTCGCCTCCTTCTTTCTAAAAAAACAAAGGTCCAAAGGCTTTGTCATTAATTTCTATACAGCGCGTCCCAAAATACTTTTTTTTGCGGGGCTCTAGCGTCGGCGTGGGAACACAAACCGCCAATATTTTTATACAATTTTAAAGCTTGGAATCTTAACTTTATTCCTATCCACGGTTTAATATTAAAAGATTTTAAAACTTATTTTGTGTTGAAATATTAAGGCATGTCGAAAACAAACTCAACCGATTGCAAGGAAAATCGATGATGCGGTACATCAGTTGCAAACTCGAGTCACACTTTGAGCGCGCTTTTTGAACTTGCACGTGAATTTCAAAATTGAAGTTGAATCGATGAACGATATTGTGAATTCATTTAAGGTGTGGTCCACGTGGATCGAAAAGAATAGGAAACACAGAAGGTAAAAGGCATCGAGATCGTCACATCATGAATATAAGCGAGAAACAAATGCGCATGGTTGGTTTTTCTTGAAATCGGTTGAGTTTGTTTTTGACATGCCTTTATTTGAACACATAATTTCAAAACCCGTTTGAAAATCAACCCAAAACTTACCAGGGATAATGTTATAAGATGCCAAGCTTTAAAATGATATAAAAATAATGGAGGTACGTGTTTCCGCGGCGATGCTAAAGCCTCGCAAACAATGTTGTCGGCATTTTGGTTTATACGTATGCTGACTTATCATGCTTATGGGGCACCGGGAAGTTCCCGGCGGGAACAAAGGGCAGCAATAGGGACAATATGGTACCCTACAAGTCGGTCTTTAGAAATCTCAGTACCCCATAAGTAAAACGCTAGGGAGTTTGAGATTTCAATAGGAACAAAGGAGAATAAAAGAAGGGAAGTCAAGTGGACAATTGTGGTACCCCATAACTACCCCGAAACACGGATGTGTGGACGCGCTGTGTTTCACTATACATTGTAATTCGAAACTTAGCTTCGCGGAATCATTAAGATAAGGGCTTAAATTAAAGCTTTGGCGGTAGCAGCTCGCTATGATTGTACTCCCCATAATTATTCTTACATTATTTTAGCGATGTCTTAAGCCTGAACGTGAGATCTTTTCCTGCCACCGTTGATCGAGTCCTTTATTGTTTCATCTTCCAAGGAGGTTGTCAAAATCCATACCTTATTATTCCAAATTGTTATTATTGAACGAGAGCAGAGTATCTGGAAGTATACTTCGATTCCAAAGTCCCCAAGCTAATCTGGTTGGAAACAGGTTGTTGCCCCAGTACGTACCTGATTTATTCAAAGCAACTAATGTAAGTATATAAATTGACATTGGCTATTATACTTGGTGTGTATCGCTCAGCTAATTTGCAAGAGTGCCGTCCCGATGGTCCAAATTCTTACCAGCCAATACACTTCTCATTTCCATGCCATTTCCAATCAACTTAGATACACATTCGTTTTCAATGCTACCATCCATTTTCCCGTTCCCACGTTTCGTATTTTACCCACACAATTCTCCAGTACAGTTGTTGAGAAGTGAAATTGTTCCTAAGACATTCTAGGCCTATCCAGTGAAATTCCTCGTCTTTGTCACTGACGAAATAAGTGTCATTTGATAACGTTGTGACTTACTTTCCATTGTTAGCTACTATAAAGGTCGTCTACGCACCCTTACGATGCACACATGCGAAACAAATTCAACCAGACGATTTCGACCTTTCACGTAATTTGATAAATAAAGACTGTGGTCACCTTGAAAGAAGTCTAATTGTTTTATTGAAGCATAAAAAAACGAGAGAGACGTTAGTGTCCCTTGTTGACAACTGATAAGTATATTTTTGTATGGAAATGAATGTTCATGCAGCTTTACAACTCATTCGATGGATGAAGTCCTGAAACCATCAGGGTATTAATAATGTAAAAGCGCTTTGATCTTAGTTAAAAGCGCTATATAAGTACCTGTTATTATTATTAGTATTTTAACCTTTTCTTCCCAACTTCTTTGTCTAAACACTATCTCAGTTGTCCGTAAACTGCTGATCTCAGAGGAGTCTAAGAAAAGGGTCGAAATCGTGATCCCGCTTGTTATGACAAAATGGCAATTGGTATTAAGGTATTAAGTAAAAGTCCATTCCTCACAGTTGGCAAATAATTCACATAATTGGACATCCTGCCTGTTATTTTTAGGTTGAAACATCTGCAAAGCAAATGTTTGGCCGGAGAAAAGTTGTAGAAGGGGTGTTTAATTCGATTGCGGTTAAAAGGAATAGGCGCGATTGAAAATGATTTTGCTTTGCAGTGCCATGCATACATACGTACGTCCACCCAAGCCGTCACATCTTGTTCGTTTTGATTTGTGCATTGTGTTCCATGGCATACACCGAAACGGTACAAAATTCAAGATGTTAAGATTCTTGACTCCGCCTTCTTTCAATCTCGCATTGCTAGGCCTATATTATGATAATAACGACACAGCCTATACTTGCTGGAGATATATAGACGGATTATTCTGTTTTTGAGTCAGAAACGATGCGTATCGTCGTACGGTGGAGATCGTTGTTACACCGTCATTGTGAAAACGTGCCGCAAAATGTTTGTGTTTGCGTTTGCCGGACTCGTACTTTGCGCTACTGGACAGGTTCCACCGCCGGTTCTGGTTAACTTCACCGTGGAAGGTGACGTTACCCTGGGCGGGATGGTCCCGTTCCACTTTGGTTCATCCTGTCAGGGGCCGTTGGGGCGGACATCGGTGGAGGCTGCCGAGACGATTGTGTTCACTGTTCGTCAGGTGAACGAGCGATCAGACCTGCTACCAAACCTGACGCTGGGGTTCGACATCAGGGAGACATGTTACAACGAAGACATGACACTGTTATCCGTTCTGTCTCTTTTGAGTAGCTACTCCCATGATGACCCAGTTTTCCGAGTGACGGGACGTCACCGACCACCAGCTACCGGTAATTTGATCGGAATCATCGGCACTGCACAGAGTGCTTCCAGTCTGGCAGCAGCCAAACCCATCAACCTGTACGGTGTGCCCATGATCTCTTACTCCGCTACCAGTGACGAGCTGAGCGACAAAGATCGATTCCCGTACTTTCTGCGTACAGTGCCACCAGACAGGTTTCAAGCCAGGGCAATCATGGACATCCTAGTCCGTTACAACTGGATCTACGTCGGTCTGATCTACTCGCTGAATACTTACGGTATCCTTGGCACTCAAGAGCTGTTGTCATTAGCAGACAAAGAGGGAGTCTGCATTGCGTTTTCTATCGTGGTAAGAGAGAACGCTGCCCCCTCTGAAATCCAAGAAATTGTTCAGAAAATCACTACACATCATCGCGCGAAAGTTTTGGTGATGTTCGGCGAGTTTGTTGGCATGTACACCGCTTTGCAGATATACCACAATGAACACCCTGGCGAAAAGCGGACCCTGCTTTGCAGTGATGCCTTCGGACAAGATTTGCATCAATACGACATCCTAAGTATGATTCAAGGCAGTATTAAAGTGAAGCTTGATTTCCAGAAAATTCCCGCGATTCAGGAGTACTTCAGTGATGTGTTGAAGCAGAGTGGGCTAAGCCCTTGGTTTGCTGCTTTCAGAGAGACATGGATGACGGCCAAAAACTGCTCAGACATCTCTACATGTCCAATCTCATTCACGGGAACCTGGATGCCGATTTACAAATCGGTGTATGCCTTTGCTTACGCGTTGGACGACATGCTGCGTGACCTGTGTCCTGAAATGACGGTCAATTGCGTGACTCTGACGGCACGTAATGTCACTGGTAGGGACCTGTTGCCATATCTCCGCAATGTGACCTTTCAAGGACCGGACGGTGAGTTTCATTTTGATTCGGACGGGGACCCAGCGGGCGCGTATCTTCTCAGTTCAGTCGGGGTAGACCAGCAAGGGGAAATCGTTTGGCACGACATCGGGCACTGGGACTCTCATTTTGAACAACACTCCCTGAAAATTGACGACAAGAGGATCGAGTGGCCGGGGATAAAACCCAAAGCACCGATCTCAGTTTGTCGAGACGAATGTCAACCGGGTTACATTGAGGTCCCAGAGGAGGAGAAATGCTGCTGGACGTGTCGTCAGTGCGTCCCGAACGAGAAAGCGGTTAACAACGAGTGCATACCTTGTCCTAGCCACTTCTGGCCCAGCGAGGACTTCACGACCTGTCAGCCCATCGTCCCAACTATTATCAATCTAAAGAATCCTATCATCCTAGTCCTGCTGATCCTATGTGGACTGGGAGTCTTGCTGGCCCTAGTGAGCCTGACCGGCATGTTCATCTTCCGTAAACATCCTCTGATCAAGGCCACTGGCCGTGAGGTTAGTCTTGTCACCCTTCTTGGGACCCTCCTAGCCTACCTGACCATCTTCCCGTTCCTGGACTACCCAACCGAGGCGTCCTGTGCAGTGGGTGAGGCTATGGTGTCCCTTGGCTTCACGCTGACCTACGCTCCCACTCTGCTGAAGGTCAACCGGATTTGCCGGATTTTCCAGGCGGGAAAGAAGTCCACAAAACCTCCCCGTTTTGTCCGGCCCAGAGACCAAGTTCTGCTGGTCGTCCTGCTTACTGCAATCCAGGTATTTTTAGTTAGGGCAAATAGCATGCAAATATATTTTAAAAAGCGAGCCATTAATAGATAAGGACAAACAACAAGCTAATCCAAATATTCGTCCGAAATTCTTTTCTCCGAGGGGGAAATTAGCGCGAATGATTTTTAACTTTTTAACTTTCACACTATGCTGTTATTGCTTCAAATAAACCAAAAACAATAAATTGACAATACCAGAGAATGTAGCTGCATGCACTACCAATTAAGAACCGAATAAACTTTTCTGTTTGGCTACACATGCATGGCTTATTTTGGCAACGACAAATTTAAACATTCAATATTTGGTCATCTGACCCAAGTAAAATCAACAAGATGAGATCGCTTGCAAACAGGGGTCAATCAGAAAATGAGGCATCGTATGCTAATAAGAAATTCCCGATAAATCATTCACAAATCTTGTTTTCTTTATTGATTTTGGACGGGTTTCATACTTATCTTTCTTAACAACTGCACAGATTGCGTACTGCATCATTGCCGAATGTTCTTACATATATTCCAGCACATTTTATACAGGTGTATATTATCAATATTGAGGTTTTCCATTCACCGACTTTACTTCATAAACACGGTAGTTTTCTCAGTGCTGCCCATCATCATGGCTTGCGAGAAGAAATCACAAGTGATGCGAGTCTTGCACAGCAGCGGGTATCGCAAGCAAGCACTTTCGTAGGATGGCATTTCTTCCAGACGTGATAGGACGTCTGTTCAAAGCATGTGGTCGTTGGTTCGAGTCCCACACGTGTGAGCATGTTATTTTTGTTGCCCGTAAGCTCTTAGACATCATTAAGTATGCAATGTGCTTACGAAGGTATGTTTACTTTATTTATTTATTCCATTTCTTTACCCACGGTATACCCAAACAGTTTTAAACCTGGTTTCCATTGGGACCAACATATGTTACAATGAATAATGTTCAGTAAAGGTAACCTTATAAGGAAAAGTGAATTTTTGAAACGTACGACGAACATTAATATATATATACAAATACAAGTACTACATGTATATACACAACACAAGCTGATTCAAGTATAGAAGTGCAAAACCAAATATTGAATTTACATTCGAATTCACATTACGAAGAAATTCCATTCAACAAGACAGTGCTTGTACTAGCTATATCGGTGTTCGAGTGGTAAGAAGTCGGTACGAGATTCACAAAGTATAAAGCATGTGTTTTTTCATGCTTATACACATGTATTATATACGCAACTATCCCTTTTTCAACCATGCTTGAGCTCCATGTAGATTGATCAGTATAAAACATGGAATCGACGAAGCGTGGCATCACCACCGATCAAGTGTAATGGATGGCATCCGATACTTCGCTGAGCAATTTATCGTGGCAAATAACGGCCATTAAAGATTGTCAAATGATTCATGGCAGATCATTTTCATAGATGGCTCGGCAGGAACTTTTTAATGAGATGCAATTTATCCATGAGATTTTGAGCGAGCGCTAATATAGATGTTCCCAGTTACTATAACGCTCGTATCAAATTCCATTAAACGATGTTTAAATTTCTTTCCAGGACGCCGTTAGGCTTCATTTAGGCTATCAGCTTCGGTCCAAAAATGGGGCCAGCGGTATCAAATGATCGAAAAGAGCAATGTTCATAGCGATTTTTGGCAAGGTATGCACATCTAGAATTGAAAGGTGTGTGATAGCTTTGAAGTGTGAGCGGTGGCATTTTATGGATGTTATCACTTATTTTTTTTGTTCGAAAATGACCACCAATATCCTTGAACTGGATTAATTATATATGGTACAAGCATGTTTTGGCTGCCATTTTTTTTTAAACAAGTGATAGCACCCAAAAAGCTGCCACCGCTGTAATGCTATCACATATTTTCCAACTACAGGGGTGCATACCTTGCCAAAAATCACAATGACCATTATTCCCGTCATTTGATAACGACCAAACCCCAAGGCTGATGGCCCAAGTGTTATTTCCGATTTCGAATTTACATCAAGATATTTCATATTTGGTCCAGTATAATTCGCGAATGTATCATTCTGGTTCGTCCTAGCTTCGAGAAACAAAATGAGTGTTTAAGTAAGGAAAACTTGGAAAACATGTCGGTATAAAATCTAATGGTAATAATTACGGAGATGTTTCCCCCCGAAATTAAAAGAACTTAAGTGGAGTTATAATTCGAAATACGTAATATTTGTCAATAGTTTGTTTTTAGTGTCATGCTAAACATTACACTGAGCACGATTGTTTTGCCCTATAAAAGGTGCGTGATTTCAAGCTACGTTTGAAGATTTAGAGATCGCTTAAATCAGATTGTTTTGACCTTGTTTATGAGAGCAAGTACTTGTGAACCCTTGGGCGCCTCGTGACATGTTTGTTGAAGGCCTTCAGCAAAATTGATATTATCTGAACAGTGGCCATTTTGAACGTGAAGGCGTCGCACTCTATCATGTCAATACTTAACCTCAGGTAACGTTTGTTATTCATGTCACGCCTGTGAACTGCTCTCCTCGTGCCAAATTCATCCCGAAAATAAATTGTGTATTTTTCTATCAATGCAAAGGTTTTTCAATTAAATTGAAGTATTAGGCTTTTTTTTTGTTTGGGCTCAAAATAGAAATAAATGGTTTTCGTAAACAAATCACACAAATTGAAAAAATAGGCGGAAGAACAAAGTCAATTCCAAAATATTTGAGATCATGGGATTGGGCTCGACCACTTCTCTCCCAGTAAATTACTGCCAAAATGTATATGCCTTCTTGCAAGAAAGAGGACGTATCGTTTCTTGTCATCACTCATCAGCAATGATCAGAACCAACGGTACGTAAGACTACAATATTTCTGGCGCTGTGTGGCCACTGCCCCGCCTCCCCCGTCAGAAGATGGGAGCTACACCCTTGCGTTGCCCTGACTGGACCACGTTTAATAATTCTAAATAATATGACTGATTGCTTCTTATGATTGGAACTCGTTCCTTAGTTATTTTTCAATGGGCCCATAGTTCACCTTTTTTGAAGGGACATACCGCGGTAGACTGATCCCTCTTACTCGGAATGTGGAGACTGGTTGCCCTGGAGCAATTCCATTACTAACTGCAAAATATGGCAGGAAATGAAATTAAGAATGCAATCTTGAAAACATATAAACTGGAGAGAATGACCATAACGAACTTGAATAATATTAGAGCAAAACCATGTTTGTACGAAAATAAATTGGATTCAATATCGAAAAGAATCACTATTCGATCTTGAATTACGAAACTTTTGATAAAAATGAACACGTTTTTGTCCTCTGAAATTTGGCCGGCAAAACCTATAATATACATGTATAATATTTTATGCGTGCATGCGTCTAACTTGGTTATAAGAAGTACAACATCAATGGTGCATTGGTAATGGACGGGAGCACGACCGTTTTGTTTGCTATTTTTGATATAATAATGTTGGTGTTTCCGCAGTTTGAAATATGGACAAAGCTTCAGGGTCAATAGTATCAATAAACGGGGGCCGCCCGATAGTCCGACGGCCCGATAGTCCGAAGGTTCTTTAGTCCGAAGGCTCGATAGTCCGAATGCACAAAATTTCCATAAGAGGGGGTTCGTTAGTCCGAAACTGGAATAAGATTCGTTAATCCGAACATTATTTTGATGCAATAGTCCGAAGGTTCATTATTCCGAATCGACAATAAGGTCCGATAGTCCGAATCGACAATAAGGTCCGATAGTCCGAATCAACAGTAAGGTCAGATAGTCAGAAGTGTCATACTGACGAACCGTATTGCCCATTCGGACTATCGAACCTACTGTCGATCGGACTATCGAACCCTATCGTCTATTTGGACTAACGAACCTTTGGATTAATTAACCTTATTCTATTTTCGGACTAATGGGCCCTTCGGACTATCGAACCTCCGGATTATCGAATCGTCGGACTATTGAACCTTCGGACGAACGAACCTTCGGACTAATGACCCTTCGGACTGAATAACTTTCTGACTATCGAACCTTCGGACTATCGGGCTGTAACCTCAATAAACGTAATTTATTAGTTGTCATCGGCCGTAGGTAAAAGCTTGTATGGGGCCCATCCCATACCGTCTTTCGTATTATTGCACCAGCAAGTACCTCAAACAACTGAACTTCCGGCGTCCCTCACCCCTTGTAGAATGATGTTTGTCTTGGATCCATTTGCTCGATGTCCAACACTTTGTGGATTGTTCTTCTTGATGAGGGCAAGGCATGCACTGTCGTGACGAACTCTGTGTCATTTGTTGCGTGGAATGACAAGTGGATTTTCAACAGCTTCCTGTAGATTTCCAATCGAATGCAGCGATGCAATTTTCTATCTCAGCGATTTTGCAGCGTATAAACGAACACAGATAAAACCAGAGAGGGAGCTAAGCTTGGTCGAAACTACGATTTTGCGGTATCGTCAACAAGCTTTAGTCTTGCCATAGCAGCAGTTGACTTGGCAATCCTAGCAATAACTTCTTTTGTCTGGCCTTTCGGTCTACAATCTGCAGTGATGTCAGTGCGATGAACTCTGTGACCTGTTGTTGACAGCTAGGTACATTACATCAGATATCCATGTTCGCTGTTTTTATGTCGAAGTTGATCACCATGCAATATCTGCAGCTTGTGCCGTCAGCTTCGTTGATGTTTGGTTGTCCTGATCTTATGCTAAAGCATGTCTGAGATCAATGTCGTCCGCACCGTTTAACAGGATAGAGAGATACTCAGAGCCTCGGAATATATTTTACATTATTAGCAACTTGTACTCGTAGGCCTATGTGAGGTCAATGTCAGCTGAATTTAGTTAGTGTAACCATAATTATGTTCACTTTTTTAACCAAGGGTTAAAAATACCTAGAAATAGAAACGATGAAACATGTTCGATGTGGATTGAAAATTCCTGGAATCATTAAGTGATCTAAAATCTAATCCACATGTGAGTCGTGGTCGGATTCAAACCCCGGTCATAGAGGTGGAAGGCAAAGTTATTATTATGCTCGACCAACTCCCTTTTTGGTTATGTTATAGGTAGGCCTATTTATAGTCATTTTCAAATAATTTTCAGCCCATCACCTGAACTTTACGCCATGGAAAATACGGTATAAAAATGAATATAGTATTAAAAATTGCCTTTAAGTAGGACCTGCACAAATTCAAAGTTAATTTCACAAGAAATGAAAACACGTGACAATGCTCATTAACAAGTATGACGTTCAGATTTGGTATAATATTTTTATAACATTGAATCATTTTATTTTACATAATTTTCGTAAACCGAACACACAAAAGCATGAAGACTCTGTCTTACACCTTTTCAAATGAAATACCGTTTTATATTAGGGTCATTCCATGTCAGACCAACGCACTTTTTTACCTCATGTCTTCCGATTTTAATAAAAATTGCTGTGCTTGTAGGTCCTAACGAGCAATGAATACACACCAATTTTTAGCCCGATCTGACCTACCATGTGGTCAAGGCAGAAGCCACAAAAAAATGGCATTTTTAGAGTAAAATACCACCCTTTTGGTATAAATATGTCAAAACTATGGCAATTTTCATCAAATATATGTGAATTTGGTATTAAAATAATGAGGATTGCATGCTCAAATCACTTCTTTTGTCAAAATTAAATTTTGTGAAAAGTGGGTCACGTGACCTTTAATATGCTATCGTGACCTTTGACCCAATTTTTGTAATAATGTATCATTCCGAAAATCAACGAAATAAAAATAACATGCTAGAGCATGTCTCTCTCTATCAGAATCTACTAAAAATCAGTTGGGGTCTTCAAAATTTACAACTTTATGACTACTTTTGTACAGTTGGTAGGTTACAAATGAGTCAATTTATAGACTTTACATAAGAAATACACCAACACAACTTACTATTCTGTTTCTTAAGTTACTAAAATTAATCTAGATTTTTATGTATAAAGTACAAAGCCAGGAAAAACAAAATTCCACCTTCTGATTCCAAAGAAACTGTCTAATCAGAATATCTGGACTCGCAAGTGTGCTAACTACTAACAGTAACCAGGCCTTCACCCAGTACAGCGGACTCACGTCCAGGTAAAATTCATCTCAAAGGAACAAAATGCCAAGTCTGTGAGAGTCATTAAAGTTCAAGAAGCACAGTGATGAATGAGTAAGGTAACTTTGATTGTAATATTAAGTATTATCTTCAAGCAAACTTGAATCCTAGACCCTGATTAGTCCATCTATAGCAACAACTGTGTGATTTTATATAATATTGCACAGCTATATTGCACCCCAGATATTAAAAATGTACGTGTACATATGTTGTGTTATTTCCTGCAGAACGGACCAATACACTACATGTATGCACGTGCATCTTCACCGCGTGTATGCATTTGATATCAAGTTTGCTTGAAGATAAATTGGTTATAATAACACGGAATTATGTAGTGCATCGAGTGGCATATGGGTCACAGCAGCATTGCATTATTTCATATTCCAAGCGCGCTCGTGGGATAACTAATTATCAGTGGAAGGGGGGGGGGGGGCTTGAAACACCCCCCCCCCCCCACGTTGTCAATTTGTTTGTTTGATTTTAGGCTAGTTTTTGTTGGTCCAATCTTTTACAGAAATTTGAACAAAAAACGATTTATGACCCCCCGCCCCCCCCCCCCCACCAAAAGCCAAATCCTGGGTGCGCCACTGCTGATAATTTACACACTGAGTCTGGTTAGACCTCATCAGCCCTCAGAATGAGAAATTCACAACCAAGATATATTTCAGTAACTTTAGAAACAGAATAGTAAGTTGTGTTGGTGTATTTCTTATGTAAAGTCTATAAATTGACTCATTTGTAACCTACCAACTGTACAAAAATAGTCATAAAGTTGTAAATTTTGAAGACCCCAACTGATTTTTAGTAGATTCTGATAGAGAGAGACATGCTCTAGCAAGTTATTTTTATTTCGTTGATTTTCGGAATGATACATTATTACCAAAAATGGGTCAAAGGTCACGATAGCATATTACAGGTCATGTGACCTACTTTTCACAAAATTTAATTTTGACAAAAGAAGTGCTTTGAGCATGCAATCCTCATTATTTTAATACCAAATTCATATATATTCGATGAAAATTGCCATAGTTTTGACATATTTATACCAAAAGGGTGGTATTTTACTCTAAAAATGCCAATTTTTTGTGGCTTCTGCCCTGACCACATAATAGGTCGGATCGGGCTAAAAATTGGTGTGTATTCATTGCTCATTAGGACCTACAAGCACAGCAATTTTTATCAAAATCGGAAGACATGAGGTAAAAAAGTGCGTTGGTCTGACATGGAATGACCCATTAGTGACACTAGCGATGCAAGAAGGAAAGGTCGTCACTTCACAGAACAGAGTTGTAATGACTCGAGTCGATGACTCGACTCGACTCCAACTCGAGTCACAATGTTTAGTGACTCGACTCGACTCGAGTCCCTAAGGGCAAATGACTCGACTCGACTCGAGTCACTGCGAGCAAATGACTCGACTCGACTCGAGTACCTCATCAGAATGACTCGACTCGACTTGAGGAAGGCTTATAAGACTCGAGTCCCAAAAGTAAAAGCAAAACTTTGCAAAAAATATTTGCAATGACTTGCGCCGGTGCCGGTTTTTGTTCACGTGACGTTAGAATGTTCGCGAATAATGTATACATATACGTACATTAGTTGAATGGCCATCACCTTGCACCCCGTTTTTATTTTCATTGAGTCAAATGTGGTGTCACCACATGTAGTAGCCGGAATGTAAAATCAAAAAAGCAAAGCAAATTACTTTCTCTCTTTGGTTTATTTATTGTATAGTGTTTTATATTTGTGACTCGAATTGACTCGATCTAAATACTTGACTCGACTCGACTCGACCTTCTTGCCTACTGACTCGATTCTACTCGAGTCACTTCTTTAAAATGACTCGACTCGACTCGAGTCACAGTGACTCGTTACAGCTATGTCGCAGAATAACTGAAAGGTCACCGCAAACATAGGCATTTATTTTGTAAATGGGTTGTCCGCTTGTGTCGAAATGACACATCAATGATTACTTAACGATTTTCCAATGACTACAGTTCAGTGCACCGTATTTTAATGTCTCTAGATCTGTTTACAGTGAACGTCGAGACACATCTCAAATTTCTCTTCGCCGGACGTGATTTTTTGCCAATACCAAAAATAATAATGATTAAGGTACATGATGGAAATTTAACATTGAATTAAAGTACAGAAAACAATGTAGTCAAATCCTTTCGATTGATATGAAATCGTATCTTCCTTCAGTGTCAAACAGGACTTCTTTAAGGTCCCATATGCTTTACAATTAAAGAGATCTTTTGGAGTTTTAAACCATATTGCTTGAAGGGTCTTCACTGGTGAACATTTTAGCCATGATCTGAGTTGCCGTGTTTTTTTCTCCATAATGCAGGTGGTGATTGTTGGTGTATCCGGCATCACAGGCAACCTCAGCAAACCCCAGCTCCTAATGCCAGAGAAGTTCTGCAATTACATGGAGATCTACTGCCTGTTCCGGAGCGGCTTCGTCGCCTCGTGCATGTACAACCTGCTGCTGATCCTGGCCTGCTGCTACTACGCCTTCAAGACCCGTAAGGTACCCAGCAACTACAACGAGTCCAAGTTCATCGCAGTCAGCGTCTATTCCACCCTGGTGCTGTGCCTGGCCGCTGTGCCTGTCTATGCCACGGCTACCATTGTCCTACAGAAGGTGGCTACACTCTGTATGGCCGTGCTGCTCAATGCCTACCTGACGCTAGTCTGCGTATACTTGCCAAAGCTCTACGCCGCTCGCTTCGTCAAGGATGTGGTTCTTCTCCGTTGCAGCAACTCAACGACCGGAGAGAATTCTACTAGAGTCCACCCGCTACCCGGGCCCAGCACTTTGGGTGAGCAGAGCCAAGGCTTGCCATCCGTCAATACCTGAAAAAAAGTTTACCCCGTGCGCGCGACGTGTAGGAAAACTTGGTCACAATGTGAAACTTGGTCCCGGCAGCTATGCGCTTAGCAAGTTCATTTAGATTTTTTTTGGGGGGGGGGGGGGTTACAGGTAAAAAGGGCACATTGGCAGGAGTGTTGCTAGACCACTTTGAATTGAAGGGAAAGGGTGAAAATAAATTTGCTTCTAAAAGGTAGACAGGATTTTTTTCACCCTGCCTCCGTAAAATCAAAAAGCGGGATGGGGGGGGGGGGGGGGGGGGGGGGGGGGACGGGGATGCAGATCTTCTTCATGTATGTTTTTATTTTCTTCTTCAGAAATTTTCGCAGGGAGGCGTGCTGAAATGTAGACCGTTTTTTCCCTCCGGAAACTAAGGCCTCCGAAAATCAACTGCTGGGTGTGGGCCGGGGGGGGGGGGGGGGGGGGGGGGGCGTACCATCTTTCAGTGGGGAGCGCTGATCAAATCCTACAATCATGCACTTATAGTACCCAATAGTGTACAAATTCCCCTTTTTCACAATTTTTTTGGGAGGGGGACACCGTTCGCAAGTCACATCAACTTCTAACATTTGCTACTGCCATTTTTTCTGGAATATTTTTTTTAGGGGGGGGGGGGGCTAGAACAACTTTTTTTTGGGGGGGGCGTCTAAAGCCCCCTAGCCCCCTCCCCCCCCCCCCCCCGCCCCCCCCCCGTAGAACCGCGCCTGGTATGGACGCTGCTCAAAGGGGACGATCATGGGCACTGTAGTGACGTGCTTTATCACGGCATATTTGTAGACGGACGCGCGAATTTTGGCGAAAGCAGGATGATTTTGCCGACGCTGTTGAAGTTTGCTTGACGTCTAAAAAGGGCACTCGTGAAAATATTGGGGGATCCCCCCTTACCCCCCCCCCCCCCCCCCCCCCCCCTACCAACCTATAGGTTACGCCATTGCCGGGGAACGATTTCATTGAGCTGCTCAGCACAAAATTCGAATGATGTGCGCAAGAAATATTAAAGAGGCTGTCAGCCAAATTTCAATGTGATAACTATGTTGCTAGTTTTAGCTGAAAATTGCTTAGCGCAATTTGCAAAACGAATTGTGTTGCTTAAAATTCCCTGTAATTGGCCCAAACGTTTAGATTGTCCATTTAACAATTTTTGACAGGAGTGATGTGGGATATGACGTTTTCAGCACTCGAGGCGGGGTGCATATTCGCCTCGTGTGCTATGCGCCCGAGGGTGGTCAAAACGTCATATCCCACATCACACCAGTCAACAATTTTGTTATACCTCTGTCTTGGATTTTTTTTAAAATTTTGATGTAAAAATCACGAAATCAAATAGCAGTAAACACAACAATCATGACAATCGAACGTCAACTCAAAACAGCTGATCGTCTGCTAGTTCGCTGCTCCCACTCATGTGTGAAAACATGATAACAAATAGCCTGGGTATGTTATACCAACGATACAAGTGTTTCACACCGTACGTACCTACGTGCAAAGTCATAGCACACTCCCTATCACTTAACGTGATTACCTCACAGGGAGTGTGCCATGACGTTTTATAAACATAACACGTGATCGTTCTAGGCCAATGAAAATACAGTATTCAAGACAGAGGTATAACAATGCATATTGTCGCACGATAATTTCAGATAGGAAAAGAGCCTTTTTTTGGTGTAAAACACAACATGAGCAAACGCACATTTTCTATCTTGATACACCTACAGCCCCAGTCTATGGGGAACACTCCCTGCAAGGAATCATCACGCAAGTCTAGTCTTATTCAATGGTGTTATCCACTTTCTCGTTTGGTCAAAACGACTGTTTGAAAGTCACATTGGGAATATTTGTGCGAGATTTTTTTAACAATCTCTCAATGCACAACTAATCCTTTATAAATGTAATTCCCGTTACATGGTCCTTCATTATAATGAGAAACTATTCAACATGAAGGATTATAGCCAATTGGCAAGTACTGACGTCACTACATGTATAACGCCATGGTTCCGCGTAAAGCGTTACTACAGAAAGGCTGATAACCAGTGAGCAGTAAGAACATGAAATCGCACTCAAATTTTGAAACATCCATCCAAAACTACAAACGAATAACTGTTGTCGTTGCGAGCTAAAACTTAATGCGGACTGAATACAATCCCTCCGATTGGGTGTGGTCGCTATCTGACTCTGGAGGCGCTAGTTAAACATTTACGTAAACATACAAAAACGTATACCCACGCTTAAAGCCGATTCTCCGCGCTTTGGACCACCGAATTGAGGTGAAATTGGTTGTGGACGATCAATATTTCAACTGTTACCAGGTACACGTTGGGAAAAATATTGTGAATAGTTACAGGTAACTGTTGTGAAAGTAAATACACAGTTGCGGAAAGGAATGGTAACACGGAGTGCCGGTACCTGTTGTTAATTTCCGGGGATGCGTGCGCATCTTGCGCACCCCTCACCATGTCCTCCCCTGGGTACGAGGGCCTTGGGATTCAGAACGCTGTGTTGACTGGGTCATCAGGTAGACTTTTTCCTTCGCTTAACAGTTTGGGGAAAAGGAGCAACTAATTTTTTTTTTTTAGAATGAAGGTACTTTTCATTGTAAATTTATTTTGTAATTCAAATAAAACAGTACAGTTTTGCATTCTGGGTATGGAAGACAATCAAACTAGGCAATTTGCAGGACTATGAGGCAATGAATCGGAAAACAAATCAGTTGTTTTCTTCTAATACGCCTGGAATTCGGTGATTAGTTTTTCGTATAAAGCGATGTGATGTTTATATCTGAAGCCTATAGTTTCCATCATGATCGACATAAGAAACGCCGAAAGCAACGCAAACAAGACCCAAACTGCAACGCAGACATATGGAAGCATTTCATCCGTAAATGTCACCTACAACCCAGACAGACGCAAACTATCTCGCAGACGATCGGTAAAGTTCATCCCGGTTCAACTTCGTCGACGATTCCGTGCACTGTCCGCGTAGTCTGCGTAAGCTTAACGTCGCTGTGGAAACTATAGGCTTTACTTATGAAATGTACTTATGTCATTATTGAGTGGTCGGGCACAACCCGACCACTCTTTGGATCTGTTACGATTAATCTTTCTTTCTTTGAGTGGTCGGGCACAACCCGACCACTCTCTGTTATTGTTCTGGTAAATCTTTTTTTTTCCGGACAATACTTCTCCGCGGCTTTTCTCCTAAACGGTATATGATAGGAACGTGTAACTTTCAATATATATCGACCCTCATCCTTAGTGGTGCATATTACTCCGACGTCATGATTACGTCATCGGGTGTCAAATTACAAGCGATTTTAGGTGGAAAAGTGACCAATTACTTTCACTTATAACTCTTGAACTAAATAATCAATGAGGTTTGTATTCTGTAATGAGATAGACCATTAATTGCTCAACATTTTTTTGTCGTGTACGTAAACTCACTTGACCTTTACTTCCGGGTCTACCGGAAGGTCAAAGTTAGATGAATTCAAAATGAAGACGTTAGCCTGAAATAAAAACAAAGCAAAATTTCTTCCGAACGGTTTACGGTACAATCACAAAACCTTGTGTGAACTTGTACCATGTTACGAAGATGTTATACATTTTTTACGTCAGCATGACGTCATCGGGTATCAAATTACAAGCGATTTAAGGGCAAATTTTGACAAAATAGTTTACGCTATATCTTTTGAACTAAATAGATTATCGTGTTCGTTTTTTCGTGAGGCTGTAGACTATGCCTGGAGTAACATTTCTTGTACATGGACACAAAACCGCTTGACCTTCACTTCCGGTACTGGTGTTACCGGAAGTGCAATAAAAACCGAATATAACTCAAAAGCGGAATCATTTTACTACACTCATATAAATTATGAAAGTGTTTAGTGAGGAATGCCAGACTCAAACGCAGTGTGATGACGTCATCTTTCGAAAGGGCGCCCCCTAGCGACACATAAAACAGTGTTTGCTTTCTTTAATTTGAAAACCATCCGCTTTTAAATTTTTATCAAACCGCCCCTTGATATTTTTTGAGTAACCACAGATAACTTAGCAAGGTTTCAAATTCATGACGTCATCAGACCGGAAGTTACTTCTATGAGAATTTGAAAATGACCCGCATTTTAAGTCTATTTTACATGTATATCATTCGATCCATGTCGAATATCTTCGTAGCCCAAATAACGATATCCATTACAATGTCCACTTTTTGCATGCTTCCAAATACTGTGACGTTATCAAACTGGAAGTTAGATGTTATGAATACATACACTTACATTTTTCATATTTTCATATATTATTTAACTTCCGCACAATGAACATGTATCCACTCCGAACTATAAATCAGTATTCACTTTTCGTTTTTGAATAATTACGTCATCAAGCCAGAAATAACTTAATTGTGTACATAGAATGTTTACTGAATTTTATCACACAAAAAAAATGATTGTACTGTAAAGGATTTAACTTTTGATCCTTCGTTCTTACATAAAAATATTCATAACTTAACTCGGCAGTGTTTAATGAAAAAAAGTGCCTGCCCGACCACTCTGCGTTTGTAACAACAAACGCGAACCTCTAGTTTTTAAATTATTTTTCTGTTAGTTCATAAGATATATGAACTTAACTATATGCTTGGCGTGTGCAGAAGTATTTCACTACGGTGAATGCGCTTCACGTGGTTTATGGGATACTTAATCATTTTTCACCCAACGAAAAGATGACAGCATACAAAGATACAGGACTGCAATTATTTAAAACTGTAAAGCAATTTCCCAATGTCTCTCAGACGCCTTGGCCGATGCAATTTGGAAAGATAATATCTTTGTAAAGTCAAAGACTAATACGGTTCAATTGAAACTATGCCCTAGACTCATTTACGACTGTATAGTACCGGGGCATGGTTTTAATTTTCTGCAGGCATGCATGCTTCGCGTAGATTCTGAAATGCATAATTAGATTGAAGTGAAAGAGACATTTCTCATAAGAAAACCAACAAACAACCGTTTGCAACATTAACCACATATAGTTTCCAAGAGCACGTGCCATGAAGATGTAATGATGTCGCACATCACG